TGTAGCTCTACATCAACCCGTGGCCCTAGAAGGTATTCGACGAGACCGCTGGGCAGTTGGAGATCGAGACGCTGCTTCATGTCTTCTAGCTGATCAGAACTATTGGGTGGGGTTCCGAGGGATGGAATCAATTCCTCTCGTATGCCTTCCGGGGGCGGCGACTTAAGAAAGGTAGCCTCCCAACGCTCCACGTACGCTTTTAGAAGTTCTTCCATTTTAGGCACATTCATGGAATTGGTAGTCCGCAGGACGTGACCAAGATAACCGGCCAGGAAGATCGCGGAGCGAGCTTTCTGGTCCGGTTCATTGCTGGGTTCCGCGGCTCTTCATGCTGGATTCTCCTGCGCGCTAGCAAGAGCGGTGACGATGTCATCGATATCGCGGCTGATCAAAGTCTCAAGATCGTGTCGCTCTAAGTCGGCACCGTACCACGTGGCAAGGTGCCTTATCTCAGTGTCCAGGGTTCTCCTTACTTGCCAGCCAAGAGCAGCTCTGGTCTGCTTGCAGCTGAGGGCTTGAATCTTATTTTCATTCTCAGCGTAGTCGCGACAGTCTGGTGACTCTTTCACTTTGGAATCAAGTAGAGCGGCGACTCGCTCAGCAAGTTCTTGCATGCGAATGAAAGGCTCGCCAGCAACACCATATTCTTCAATTGCGAAATGAAATGTAGGCGTAAATGGGCTTGTGCCTTCGGGTTTCTTGAGGCCTTTCTTTTCCTGCTGGCCGCCTTCGTTTAAGCCTGAGGCTGCTAGCACGTAGCCAGAAATTGCATCGGCCATATGGATGAACTGGCGGCCGTTTTTGCGGTATTTAAGCTCTATTTCTCGTTCGCGCAGCGCTTTCGTTACAAACAGCGGTATGACGCGTCTCTGATTGACGTCACCATAGCCAAAGACGTTTGCGCAGCGGGTAATGCCAATTGCCGGAAGTTGATCCCAGTATGTGCGATGATAGCTTCTGACGACGAGTTCCATAGCCGATTTTGAGGTGTCATATGGCCCGCCGTAGCTGACCCGGTCTGCTTCCCTGAAACCTCCCGGCGGAAGTTCTCCAGGCTCGATGTAGCCAAATACATGATCGGTAGAGCACACAAGCAATCTCTTGCAGATGGCCAGTCTGCGGCACGCCTCAATGATGTTGATAGTTCCCGCAACATTAACCGAGAAAGTGCGGCGCGGGTCCCGCAGAGATGAAGGGACAAGTGCTTTTGCGCCTAG